TCTATCTATCTATCTATCTATCTATCTATCTATCTGTCTGTCTATCTATCTATCTATCTATCTATCTATCTATCCATCTATCTATCTATCTATCTATCTATATATCTATCTATCTATGTATCTATATATCTATCTATCTATCTATCTATCTATCTATCTATCTATCTATCTATCTATCTATCTATCTATCTATCTATATATCTATATATTTTTCAGTTCTCAGCTAGGTCTCAATTTACCAGCAGCTGTTCAAATATCATCTCCAGTGCTGGATGTTTATGTCATTTAAATAGCATACATTTTTCATTAAATAAATCTCTGTATAATATGTGTAAGTTACAAATAAGAAACCGAAGCATCACAACGTTCTCACCACAAGACAGTGAAAAGTGTATAGCATGGTGTGATAAGATAAAATTGTACAAACCTTGTTAAGGAGAGAAAAGGGGGAGTTAGGAGAGATCTACACACAGAGTGAGAAAGAGATCGAGGTAAAGAAACGGGGAGGAAGGAAGAAAGAGACAGGGTAAAAGGGAAAACAATTTCAAATATACCGAAACCTACAAACAGAGTAAAATAGAGAGATGATGGAAAGGAGAAAAAATATAATGATATATATATATATATATATATATATATATATATATATATATATATATATATATATATATATATTTTTTCTCTATGAGAGACACTTCAAAGANTGGCCCATATCATCTCGGCCTCAGATCTGCTGGCCCATATCATCTCGGCCTCAGATCTGCTGGGCCATATCATCTCGGCCTGGGGTTTTATGTTGAGGGCCAAGTTTTGTTTTACGCACTCATATTTCCTTTCAGGCATCTTTCCTTTCAACCATCTTTACTCTGCCTCTACCTCGCTGTCTCTTTCTCTTTGTCTTGCCTGCGAAATTTGTGAAACTCGCATCTATTAAACTCCCACTTGACAAAACATGCATTACAGTAAGGCGCATAATAAAATGTCAATATACTGATACCCGACCCCCCCACCCTCAACCAGTACGTCGAATCCCCTGCACTATATTTTACAAACGGACACTTTTTTTCACATTCCATGAACTCTGTTAATATTCTAATGTCTCATCCCATTTTATACTGCAAACTTTTAAAATTCTCTTTAAAAAAACTTAAAATAAAAATACAAACCATTATTACTAAAGCAACACATGTGTGATATTCTTAAGAATCTTATTTAGCGCAGTTATCGGGAATTTTATTGGTACCATCTGGTAGGGCTAGTCACATTCTTGCAAAGAGAATTATATATTTTGATGAAACTTGTTGTTGTTGTTGTTTGTTTTTAAATTTATATTAAGTTACACCATATGCATATTACATGAAGCATACCATGAGATTTTTCTTTTTATGTTTCAATTCATTTTCTTTCAAAAACGTATTAATTTTTTGTTCTTTGCAATGAAACGGTTTTCACCCCCCTGTCCTGGACCCCCAAACCCCTAGTTATGGGTACATTTTACATTCTAACATCTAAGCTATTATCTTTTTCTTGCTTTAGGAGAAGCTTATTGTTCATTATATATATATATATGAATAAAAATTATCAGAGCATGTAAAATTTATTATAGAGACTTTATTTGTGCTACGATTTTGTTCAGTTTATTTGTTTTTCTTGCATTATTATTAACACAGTTCACTTGCTTATTTTGTATTATTTTAAGAAGGTACCAGTCAAATTAAACTTAATGCTTTCGCTGTATTCATCTTCGTGCGGATGCTTAAAGGATCTTATGCCCTCACTTATTTCTATGATCATTATGTATATAGAAATGTAGTTGTATGTTTGTATAGATAAAGAAGTTTTCATTATTATTGTTTTAATGTATATCTATTTTGATGTACGTGCAGGACTTTAAAGAACGCAGGGTAATTGGTTTCGCATATATATATTTATTTTTGCTATAAAATAAAAATTTGCAGAACTAACATTTCTATTGGGAGCTCCTCCTAACAAGCTTGCAAGCATTTAGCTACAACTACACTTTACACACTCATTCATTTATTTCCATTTAAAAATATTGAACTGTTGGAAACAAAAAAATTCATTGTCTAAAATTAAAGATAACAAACACACGTCATGATGCACCTAGTTGAGTCACGACTGTCAGATAAGAGCAGGAATGGTGGATGTTTAGTACAGTCAAATCTATTATTGAACTTGCGGACTTGAAATACTTTTCAAATGCGGTACGGTGTACTAATTGAGACTGTGGTGCCACTGAGCGGATCCTAAATCATATTTTAAAATAAAAAGAGAGAGAGAGATTTTTGTTTTGTTTTGAAACATTAAAATCTTATAAATAAATTTATTCATGGCGTCACAGATTATTAAATATTATTTTTTTATTTTTGAATCAGATTAACTAGAAACAAAAATAATAAGGAAAATCGCTCTAACAGCTATACTATCATACGTAACAATTAAACAATAATGTTAATAACACGCACAGTCAGTGTGGACACCAACAGCAACCCTGGGTTGATGGCACTCTAACATTGGTTGGTAAATTATATATAAATAATATAAGGAATACTCTGAAATCAGACCCAGGGATGGAGTCGCGTAGAGGTAAAACATCAAATCGATGAAAATCTCCGTAAATCCAGTGACGCTGCTGGTCCCAAACAGGTGTAATCCGCACACGATGTTCCCTTGTATTAACCAAATCCGTGGAGAGTGTTGATTTTTGTGTCCAGGGAACAAGCCTACCCTCGAAAAAAAAAAATTCCATGCCTTGTGATTTCATCGTTCGAATTCCACAACATCGTCACATTGTGAAGGTCCGTTTAACCCCATCCCAAACCCAATGTGGAGGTTACAGATAAAGTGCTGTTAATTTGTAGAGTGCAAGTACCAATTACTATGGATAATAGTGTATATAAATATATATATATGTATGTATATTTTCATATATTACATCTACATTCAAACGAGTAACCAATTTATTTGTGCTAGAAAATGACCCCCTCCGCTTTTTTAGTTTATTAATATCGAATAAATTTTAACTCAGTATATTATATTTAAGATGAAAGTAAAAGATGGGGACGATATATTTTACACTGAAAGTGGTGGTTTTTGTGTAAGTTTTATGTGAAATCGAATTTTATTTTTTATTTTTTTCAAGCACTGGTAACTCCTTTCAAATATGTTATACATGCATATAGTGATTTTAACTATATATATAAATCGGCGGCTACATTCTTCTCTTATAGTGTAAGGTATTACATAGTTTCTAAAATACAATATATACAATGTATACCAAATATTGCTACTGTTTTTTTAAATTTAAAAATACAAAATACATTATTGCTATACATCAGTCGTGAAACTAAACCATAATTATAATGATTTAAATCTTATTTTTCAGCTCAGAAATGTAAACCACGATAAACCTACTTCATAACATTGTAGCGTCATTTTTTATATGTTATTAAAGAGAAAAAAACGAAATTAATTTAAAAATAAAACAAGTAAGGTCATTTATTATATAAGCACTTGTTGCTTTATCTTTTGCCATTTAGCTAATTATTTTTATTTAATCATTTTCTATGTTAGACTAAAGGTTCCTAGTTAAACAAACGCTGACCAAGTTAAACTACGTTAGACAACGCTAGATAAATTCCAACCATTTTATACCAGGTTATATCAATTTAGACCAATTTAGACAGTTGCAGCAATACTTATGACGAATATTGCAGAATTGACGTAGGGCTAAACCTTCGTATAGGGGCCTACATAAGATAATGTAACTTTGAACATTGAAAGGATACTATGTATGAAGTATCATTTCTTAAAAGAATACATTTTATAAAGTATCTTTTCTTGAAAGAATACATTTTATAAAGTATCATTTCTTGAAAGAATACATTTTATAAAGTATCATTTCTTGAAAGAATACATTTTATAAAGTATCATTTCTTGAAAGAATACATTTTATGAAGTATCTTTTCTTGAAAGAATACATTTTATAAAGTATCATTTCTTGAAAGAATACATTTTATAAAGTATCATTTCTTGAAAGAATACATTTTATAAAGTATCTTTTCTTGAAAGAATACATTTTATAAAGTATCATTTCTTGAAAGAATACATTTTATGAAGTATCTTTTCTTGAAAGAATACATTTTATAAAGTATCATTTCTTGAAAGAATACATTTTATAAAGTATCATTTCTTGAAAGAATACATTTTATGAAGTATCTTTTCTTGAAAGAATACATTTTATAAGTATCTTTTCTTGAAAGAATACATTTTATAAAGTATCATTTCTTGAAAGAATACATTTTATAAAGTATCATTTCTTGAAAGAATACATTTTATGAAGTATCTTTTCTTGAAAGAATACATTTTATAAAGTATCATTTCTTGAAAGAATACATTTTATTAAGTATCATTTCTTGAAAGAATACATTTTATAAAGTATCATTTCTTGAAAGAATACATTTTATTAAGTATCATTTCTTGAAAGAATACATTTTATAAAGTATCATTTCTTGAAAGAATACATTTTATAAAGTATCTTTTCTTGAAAGAATACATTTTATAAAGTATCTTTTCTTGAAAGAATACATTTTATAAAGTATCATTTCTTGAAAGAATACATTTTATTAAGTATCATTTCTTGAAAGAATACATTTTATAAAGTATCATTTCGTGAACGAATAACCATTTCCAAAGTAAAAATGTATTAAAGAATACCATTTCTGAAATAACATATCCTAAGTAACAATTCTTGATCTAGCATTAGTTTCATGTAAAGTTATTTATTCTTCTCATGTTTCATAAATCTATCTCATTATCTTATATAAATGTTCTCTTATTTGTAATATAATTTTTTTGTAAATGATTTTGGTAAATACAATACACTAAGTCTTTAAGAATCCCTGCTTTTATCTGTAAAAAAAAAAAAAAATTAAAAAATCATGTTTAGTTGAACAGGTGGGTGGAGTGCTTGACCAATCAGAAGCGATGCTTATTAATGCGTTAAGATATAAATAGCATTACGATTTTTTTTCCAATGATTTCAGGAATATCCTATTATATGACAGAGACGTTAAAGAATGTACACTATTACGATTTTCTTAGTCACTTTGGTAGCAGGAACCAATGTAAGTTGATATACAATATTAAAAGAAACCAAAACATTTATCGAAATTAGCTAACTGAAATAAATAATGCAAACAAAGGTATTTTATGTTTAGTACATTTTCAGCAATATGACGTTGAACTTTGTGGCCAAAGACATTTTATGTCGCTTTTCAGTTGTATTGATACACAAATCTGTATTTTTAACTCTGGCTAAATGTTTTTTTCTAAAGCTTTCAATAAAGGTATATGTATGGCATTGAGCTGGCATCTACATCTTAAACAATAAAAAAAAAAATTAAGTACAAGATTAAGCAAAGATAAAGATTCTTTTTTTGATCCAAATAAATTTAAATTTTGTATGATTGCATTGCACATGTTCAGCACATAAATAAAAAATTTTGAACACAAGAAATTTATAATAAACTTTTTCAATAGTAAAAAAAAAAAATTAAAAAATGTAACAATGTAACACTGTGTTCAACAGAGCACAAGATAAGATTCTAGATAATAACACAAACGAGTGTGTATATTTGTGTCCACAGCCGTGCGCAGTTAGGATTCATAATGACGTGGAATTCTGAAAAAAAAAATTCTGATAAAATAAAGCATTCTTTATGCCAGTATATAATCTATTATAAGAACGTATTATTATTATAAATGTCAAATAAATTTAATAAAATCAAATAATAATTGTTAATATTTATCTGAATGTGAGAGGTAAGGAATTGAATCAGAGAAGACTGACATTCTTTGATCCCATCTTTGTATGGCTAGTTATTAATTTGAAAGCAACCTAATTTCTTACATCAAAATCTAGTAGGGCACTTTTTTAATTACTATATTTGTTATTTGTAATTTAAGGGAGAGTAAAATTAAACAGGGTTGATATTGATCGTTTTTATGTCCTTGGTTCATGTCGTTTATTCCGTCATAAATGTTTCTGATTTATATGTAAAGTAATTTCTTTTGCTGCCCACGGATACTACTTCTAAGCCAAGTGCTATTTTCTATTTTTTATCTTATTTTCATACCGTTGTTTCTGTTGTTTTGTTCGCCGACGAAGGCTTTCTTCCGACACGTTCGTTGTTTTGTTGAATTCCTTTTTTAAGGTTTAACCCTACTTTATTTCACTAATTTTATATTAAGTATTGTATACCTTTTGGAGTCTCTGAATTTTGTTTTGAAGGAAACCCCACTGACAACTGTTACAGTTATCTAAATTTGGTAACACATTATTTTAACGATGAGCAAAATCAAATATTAAATTTCGTGTTTAAAACTGTGCAACATGGCATCATACTTGATTACCAGATTGTCAATAAGAAGTGGGGGGGGGGGAATATTGATGCTGACTATGAAACACAGTTTGGGGGAAGGGTGATGCTCATCTCAAACTATAAGACATAATTTAAAAATGTCCACTTTATTTTAACCGCTACTAACTAATAATCTTTTGATCTTAAATTCAATTAAGGTTCTTTTCCTCTTCCACGTAATACTTTATTTAATGGAGAAAAAAAACAACTAAACTGTAAGTCTATAATTGGAAAAATCTAAAAAGAAAATAGCTTGATTATGGTATTACCGTACAGCTTTTGATACTATAAAATATTCCTTAACTTCAATATGTTACTAACGTTCAATATAAGTCTTGTCTGGATACGATGATTTCGATTAGGACTTTAAAATGTTTAGCCTTCCTTATTTCTTCGTATTGTAAAATCAAATCATTTAACATTATAATTCAAAGCATGTTCAAAATCTTTTAATCTATTTGGCAAAAAATATAATAATTTTGAATTGAATGTCTGCGTGCTACTTTTTTTTTACCTATGTATGTATATATATATATATATATATATATGTATATATACATATACATATATTATTCCTAAAGTTTAGCAACTACTCTCAGAACATATTTTCTAGAAGAAATCGTATACACATATGTTTTAATATACATTATATTCTTTAATTCTTTATGTTATAATATTTTCATCTTACAAATGTTTAACAAAATGTATTTTGAATGACTGACCTTGCCCTTTAGGGATTGGAAGGTAAGACATGCAGTTGGAGTTTCGACTGCGGAGAGGATGAGTGTTGCCATCCGTTGCACTCGAAGAGATTTCTGGATGATATAATACAGATTGGGCCAAGATTAGGTCAGTGGTCATTAAATATGTTTACTTTGTGAGCCTCAGATTGATTAATTCTTATGCATATAAAGAATTTAAATACTTTTGTTTATACCCTAAATATATTAGTACTTATGTAAATAACCTTCATGAATATTGTTGTTTAAAACTTAAGATACATTAGTACTTATTTAATTAACACATAATTTATGACTTAAAACAATGTATATTGATAACGCTATCAATATTGTTTATAAACACTTACGTTTCGAACCAAATTAAACTCAAACACATGGAAATTACTATAACTATATACGTCCCCGACAATATTTGCAAAATTCAAATGACACAATTGAATTTTTTTTTTAAATACCTTGTCAATAATATGTATAAACGAACTTGAAGGTATTAATTACACAATACTTTGTGTGCTTCATTTCATAGGCATGTGCCAGCAATTCAGTTTAGAAGGTCAGTACTGTACAGAAACTGGAGGATGTCAGTGCGCACCTGGCCTAGAATGCCATTTCTTCGCTGATGACCTCTCTACAACAACTGAAGCCTCCATTACGGCCTACATACTAAACGCAGAGCAGCATTTCAGGTGTAGGCCTGTTCAAACGTGATTCGTTGATCACGTGACGTGGTCTCAATGGATTTCATTAAAATAAAAAAAAAGTCCTACACATATATCAAATTCAAATTGTCTGTGTTCGCCATTTTTATTGTGAAATGTATTTTCATTTTGTTTCAATCTCTCTGGAATTTGTTAAACACGTTTCCTTTTAAAGTATGTCTTTGTTAAATTCTATCCTCCAAAACCTTTAAATAGATATGTATATTGCCTTAAACAGAAAATGTAGTCAAAAGACAGCCTAAACAATTCGACAGCTAATTAAAGGATCTATCAACAGCTGTATTAAAAGTATAGTTTCAGCAGTCTAGTGAGCTGGTTCTACTTAATTTACACTACCAAATAAACATAAATAATGGTTAATAATGAAATTAACATTTATTTGTTGGAAGAAATATTTTTGTATTGTAAATAAATATAAAATGTATAAAAACTTATTTCAATCTAAATTCTACAACAGATAATTACATTATAGGAACCGTTGATCGCGAAACAATAGTTTGCGTATAGAAGATCGTTTTAGAGTAATTCTACTTAAACAGGTTGCTATTAGAAATTTTCTTGATCACAGTGTTTTTTAAGCGTGGTATGTTAATAACTGTCGTTTGATGGTAAACATTGTTTGTTCTCAAATGATTTAGGAAACTAAACTTAATCAAAGAAGTCTTTTATTGAATCTTTACATAAAACTGTAAATATCACAAGTGCCCACCACAGGAATGTGTAATTTCTAAAAATGTGCTCTAAAATTATTTCTGTGGCTATTTCTTGTTGACGCTATTGCATGTATAAATCATCACTGACATTATTCATTAGTGAAACTGCAGTAGATAGTTCCACAGACGTGTCCTGCATGGTTTTTCTGACAACATTTACACTGCCTTAGAAGTCATACCAGAGATGTGTCATTAAGTACTTCTTCACGTCGTACTTCAAGATCAAGCGCAGATATTTCGGAAATATCATAAAGAGCTTCTCAAATTCCAGTAATTTATTGTTTAATGATTTTGATACATTTAGCTAGTCTAAAAAATTTGAAAGATTTTACCAACACTAATATTAATATTTTTGACTAAATATTTTGCATTAATTTATATAAGTGCACGTCAAACATCCTGGTTTTTTTCGTAGTTTCATCATCGTACTGATTCTTAAAGGATCTTTTTCTCTCACTTATCGCCTTGATCCTTAGGTATTTAGAAAATTATTGGTATGTTTGTATAGATGAATATCACGCAATTAATATTGTTCTGATATTAATATATAATATATATATTTTCATTTAGCGCAGTGAAGGTGTCGAGACCACCTAGGCACGCAAGGAAAGGTGTCTCCTATATTTAGTTTGCTATGCAAAGAACAAAGAAAAAATTTGAAAACTAACATTTCGATATTAAAAGCGTACTAACAACCTTTTCAGAAATGCGTTACAATTATACTTTACAAATACATTCATATATATCCATTAAAAAAATTTTTAATATAAAACAAATAACAAAATTTTATTGTCTAAAATTAAATATTACAGACATACGTCATGACGTGCCGTTATGAGTCACGACTGTCAGATAAGAGATAGAATAGTGGAAGTTTATTGAAGGCAAATGTATTTTTGAACTTGTTGACTTGAAATGTTTTTACCAGTGGCAGAGTGGTTCCATGTGTACCAGGGTGCATCTGACCGCGTGCTACTTTTCCGATTTAATATTAAATTATCTTTGAATCATATTAACTAGATACAAAAATTGTAATGACCGTCGTTCTGACTGCTACGACATCAGTCTTAACAAATAAGCAATACTATTACTATTGCGAAAAGTCAGTGTAAAGAAACAATAAAACATGACCAGCAGCCCCAGGTGGATGAGACTCTTATCTTCGATGGCGACTCATCTAAGAAATGGATCACACAACTTTTAACACATGAGGCCGGATAACTGACAAAATGACGAGTGCGTACCGCATACTCATTCTGTACAATACTCGTAGAAAAGAACGAAAGCTCTGGGAAAATAAAATAAACAACTTCAACATATTTATTTACTTTAAAAAAAGTATCAAAGAAGGCGACGTTAGTAAAAGATTGTTACATGAGACCTAGTGCGCACAATATAAAGCAGAACAAAAATGGTTACTAAGATTTGGGAAACTGATTTTTGGCTTTTAAGGTATGATCAATGTTTGGTTAGGAATTATTGCATCAATCAAGGGAATTCCTTTCAAATGTCAATCAGCCAACGTCTTTCGTTGTGTTCTTTACATGGTAGTTAAATTTAAATCTTATCACTACGTCTCGTGTTCAATAAGTTGTATCAAGCAAATTCTGGTACCGCCCACGTGTCTGGTGAATTAACATGGCGTGCCTGATACGGCCATAGTTTGCTGACCCCTGATCTAAGAGAAGGAAATCTCGGAAATTTTAACCCGTAGAGGAAAAACAATAAATCATTTAATATTTCAGCAACTGCTGCGACGCCACTGGTGCCAAGCTGTGTCATCCACGCGTGATGTTAAATCTGGTGAACCAAGTGCGTGGAGAACGTAGCTAAGGTGTGTATGGGAACAGCCTACCCTCCAAAGAAAAAATAATCCAGGCATTGCCATTACATCCTTCGACGTCTGCACCATCGTTACATTCTAAGGTTTGGTTACCCCCCCCCCCCACTTTTAAAAAACTTCTGTTTGTTACCTATAATAAAGCTATTGTTTTTATTTATTTATCAAAATTTATAAGATTAATACATTCATCAGTGATAAAAAAAATAACCCGTTGCTATTTTAAGTCTTATATCCAATAAAGCTTAACCTAGTTAAATACGAATCGATTATATTGTGTTTCGGATGAAAGTAACACATAGGGATAACATTTAAATTTGTTAAACTGAAGTTAGTTATTTTCTTATATGATTTATCTAAAATTAAGGTAATTTTTTATTTGTTAAAAAATCTCATAAAACGTTTAAAAATGTTAAATATCAATTTATAGTATTTTTATAGATATCCGTGGGCTACATTTTTCACTTCTAGTTTAAGGTATTTAATAATTTCTTAAATACAATATATTAAATGTATACAAGGTTTATTTTACTAAAATTTTTAATTATTTTTTTTTCAATACAAAATACCATGTCTATTTTCAGTGGTGAAACTAAAAAAATAATTATAATCAATTAATTATAATCTTTTAATTCTGTAAATTTTTTTTTAGAATCAAGCCTTCCTTTTAGCGTCATTTCAAAAGAAATGAACGAAATTAATTTTAAATAAAATAAATTATGTTCTTTATTTCATTGGCAATCTGTTGGTTTTTTTTTGTTGTGTTTTTGTTGGTTTTTTTTGGCCTTTAGCTTATAATTATTATTTAATCGTTTTCCCATGTTAGATTAAAGTAGCTATATTTAAACAAACGTAGACAAAGTTAGGCTTCGTTTGAAACAGAATAAATCAGACCAAGGTAGACAATGTTGCAATAGGTCTTTTAAAACAATCGTTTTATCTGTAGAATCATGTTTAGTTGAACAGGTGGGCGGCGTTTTTGACCAATCAGAACCAATGTTTAGTAAATTGTAAAGATATACATAGAAAAACGTTTTCTCAATGAGTTAAAGGACATCTTATTATATGACACAGACGATGGAGAATGTACGCTATTACTATTTTCCTTGTGACTTTGGTAGCAGGAACCAATGTAAGTGCACTTAAAATATGTTTAAAAAATTTTAAAAAATCAAAGCAAAAGCATCAGAAATAGCTAACTTAGATTTATCTAAGTAAGCTATTTCTGATGCTTTTGCTTTGATTTTTTATGTATATGCAACAAAAGGTATAATGAATATTTTTTTAAAATTATTAACTATATAAAATTTTAAAAAGTAGATGTTGCTATTCATTTGTATGGATAAGCAAAGTTTTATTTTAAACTTTTGCAATTGATTATTTTGTATAAGGCTTTTAAGAAAGCAATTTTCTGGGTATCAATAATTCATAAATAGTGCCTGCTCCTTATTGAACGTTAAACATTTTTGTTGTGTTGAACACTTGATACGTCCCAGTCTCACTCAGACTCTACACCCTGCGGTCCCCGGACAATTTGAGATTGAGACCCCTGGGTTATATGTAGGAGTTCAAGTCTATAAATAAGCATTTATTAGTTATGTTCGTGGGAACAGAAATACAATATCTTTAACCCCAATTATATTAAAAATTTAATATTTTGTATTTATTTTAATTTGAAATATATAACAAGACAATTTAAATATGCATAATCGACAATTCTAAGACTATGTAGTGGGATACTAGACGGCTAATACTGTTGGGAGCAATTGTTCCACAACTTTCTAATGATGCGACACTTCAATACCATACCTCATGTTGCCGTGACCCGAAACTATAACATTTTTTTGTAGTTGCTACTTTATAAAAATGTGTTTTTCAATGGTCTTAGGTGACACATGTTAGGGGATCGAATGACCCTTGGGGATCTAAGACCACCGGAAAGCAAATATTTATGAAATAGCCAGGAAAATAATTTATGGAAATGTATTAAAGGGTCGCGGCATCAAAAAGTTTGAGAACCACTGATTTAGAGGATATGAATAAATTGTCGAAACTTTCTCGTGAGGATCCAATTCATCAAGGCCCGATTCAGTTACGGGCGTAACAAGAAGATTTTTTTTAGATATTGAGACAGCAAGTAGAACGTGCAGCAGTACGTCTACAATTATTACGCCGTGTCAAACGTGTCATGACGTCTAGTAAAAGATTTCTTGAACCATTACCCAGACGACATGATAAAACACATTATGATGAAAATTGGGATATCAAAAATCAAATTCAGATGCTAAAAGTCCACCATAAAGCATCGTGCCTGATTACTAGACTTCTAACAAGAAGTAGGGAACAATATTGATGCTCAATATGTAACACAGTTTAAAAAAGGGGTGGGGGATATTCAACTAAACCTATAATATATAACAAAAAAATTTACATAATCCTTTCCTCTTCCACGTAGTACTTTATGCATTTAGAATCATTCTGTAATTTTAGTCTACATAGGGCAGTTCTAAAAACATCTTTATTTTTTAATTTCGGTAATACTTTTCAACTTTTATACAATTAATTATTCCCCAAAGTTCAATATGTTAAGTTCTATTTATATTTTTTACATTAATTTCTGTATACAATGATTTCGGTGATTACTTTGATATGTTTAATCTTCTTTATGCTTCTTCATACTTTAAAATAAATCTAAACTATTTTAAAGTATTAAGAAAAAAAAAATATTTATCCTTTGCTTTATTTACTTATGTAATTGTTGTTTTTTGTTGTTCCTAAAGATTGAAAATTACTCATGAACACATTTTAACAGACGCCGTACACACGTAATTGTTATATTTTTACAGATGTTGAAAATGTGTATCTTAATTGATTTGCCCTTTCCTTTAGGGATTGGTAGGCAAGACATGCAGGTTTTCCTTCGACTGTGGGGAGGATGAGTGTTGCCAGCCTATTGGGTCAAAGAGATTTCTGGAAGACCTCATACAGATTGAGCCCAGATTAGGTCAGTGCTGATGTTTAACTTTCAAATGTTCACTCTGTTAGCGTAACATGGATTAATCATTAAAACGGATGAAAATAGAGAATTAGACTAGCTTCGTTTATAACCTTAGATGCATTACTAGTTATTTAAATAGCCATTATAAATAACTATATTTAGAACGTCAGATACGTTAGTACTTATTTCAATAACGATCATAAATGTTTATGCTTTTAAACAATGCACATTAATACTTCCATACACACCTTCTATAAATACGTTGCGATTAAAATTAACTGAAACCAATAGATTTCACAATTGTTTATACGTTTCCAACAAAATTTGATTTGCTCAAATGACAAAATAGTATATAAAATACATTTATTCCATATTACCGACTCAGTAATATTCATGAACTAAATTGAAACCATTAATTACGCATTATTTTGTGTTTCATTTTATAGGTATGTGCCAAAAATTCAGTTTAGAAGGTCAAGGTTGTACCAAAACTGGGGGATGTCGATGCGCATCTGGCCTAGAATGCCATTTCTTTGCAGACGACTTCTCTACAACAACTGAAGCCTCCATTATGGCCTACATACTAAATAATGAGCACCATTACAGGTGTACGCCTGTCCAAACGTGATTCGTTGATCGAGTGACGCTGTGTCAGTCGAGTTTAAAATAAAAATAAAACATTCCTGTATTTCTTTATTACTGTAGAAATTTCTTTTGGGTTCTCATAAATTTATGAATAATCTTTTAAGGATATGTATTTGCTAAACTCTCTCCTTCGAAATCTTTAAAATAGCTATGTATATCGCTAGAAATAGAAAAGTTAGTTAATAGAGAGCCTAAACAATTGGAAAGCTAATTCAATGAAATATCCACAGCTGTATTAAAATTAAAGTTTCAGCAATGAAGTGAGCTGCTTCTACATAATTATCATTACCAGATAAACATAATTGTTAACATAGAAATAAACGATAATGTGCTGAAGTAATGCTTTTGGTATCGTAAATTTTAATCCCGAAAAAACTTGCTGCAATAAAACATTTAAACAGTTTGTTTGCATTACAGCGTGGTTCACCAACTTTTTTCGCAGTGGTCCGGATAACGGATAAATTGAGGACCACTGGCCGTATAGTCATTCTGTACAAAACTTGAAAGACAGAACGAAAATTCTGGGGATAAAAGATGAAAAACTAAGTTTAGTATTCCATGTTAATCATTGGTGAGTGTCGTGGAATGAAAAAGAAAAGAACAATCAAAATATTTATTTTCTAAACAAGTTATCAAAAAAGTCGAAGTTTGCAAAAAAGATTGTAACATCAGACCTAGTGCGCATTTATCCAAATTTCAAAAATTAATCTGCAAAAACGGTTAATGGGATTTCTGAAACCGACGTTTGGCTTCCAAGATTTCATCAATGTTTGGTTTGGAATTACTGCATCCAATCAAGAGAATTGCTTTCAAATGTTAATCAGTAACTTTCGTTCGAAGTGTTGACTTCACATACTTCGTTTTTGAAAATGTTTGCTGATAGACATAATTTGTTAGAGACATTGATGCTATACCAGCGGCACATTTCTTTAGATTCGGAAACTCGGGTAAGGAGCGGTAAAATTCAACAAGATTTATATCTCTGTGCTTCTCCTTCTCGTTGTGCTTCAATGAAAAATTTCTTATTAATCATTTGATGATTCTCCAGAGATCACAGATGAGGTTATCCTGTCCCTGAAGTTTGAAGTCCAGTTAATTCATGCAGTGTGTGATATTGACCAAATATGACAACTTTGAAAGCCATATAGAATCTGACAGCCAAGTAGGATCTGATAGCCAGGTAGAATATTGCTGCCATATAGGATCTGATAGCCAGGTAGTATGTGACAGCCAGGCAGGATCTGACAGCCAGGTATGGTCGGAAAGCTGTGGATCATATCCATCTTACTCAGTTAAAAATCACCAATTTCGTTTCGGAGCTTGTAATAATGAAACATAATTTTACCGCTGCTGAGCTACATCACTTTGCGTGATAAGGCAAGTCACAGAATTTAGAATCATTTTCTTCATTAAAAACCTGGAACTTAAAACTATATAAAATCACCTTAATAATAATCACAATAACCTACAGAGATTGAGTTCATGTCCCTGAATGAAGTTCATAGGAGAAACGCCATGTTTCAGTAGACAAGAAACATCTAAGTCTTTCTCACAGAATGCTTACTGATGTATGATGCTGTGTATAAACAGAGCACCTGGAATTTGCAATATTCCGAGTTCTGATATTAATAATACTTCTAGAAAAAAAACAAAGGCTGTTACATGAAAACTTTAGAAATAAAAATTCTATGATTCACGATTTTCTGATAATGTAGTGCAGGATCGAGGTAAAATGTATCGCACATTTTTAATAAAGATATTTTAAAATGAAATTTGTTTTTCAAATATTTTCTTAGTTTTTTTAGGGTAGGATTTCCAATATTATATAGATAGAACAACTTTATCAAACTCAATGACTTTAGAAACGTAAATATCTATACAATATTCTTTCATCAATAATGGAAAGTCTGATTTACTATTTCCTAAATGTAAATATCAAGCGTATGGAACATTTTGTATCTTGTTTTAGAATACAATACATTAAACAGGATTCAGTTACAAGCGTACAAACTGGATTTATAAATGTTGAGATTTTTCCACAGCAGAAATTAACGCAAAAATTATTCCGATAAACCCCGTAACACTGGAACATATCTTCTAGTACTAAAACAAGACGATTAAAGTTTGAGCTTTGACAATGGACTTTCGGTTTCTGTAATGTGATCACGTCCATTTTGAATCACAAATAATTGAGTTTCGTATAAAGTGATTTAGATTTTTGATAACTAGAAAAAAAAAGTTAAGCTTTGAAATATAATAATTGGCAATTCCATATTTTATGATTTAACTTGTAACTTACATTTTTTTAAAAATATTTAAAAATTCATTCCAATCTTTTAGTTACTGCTGCCTGCTGGACGTAATTATTCATTTGGAAATTATCATTCAATTTGAATGCAAGATTAGCAAAGTTAAAGAAATGCATGTGAACATTGACAACATTTGTATTCAGCTCGATTCAGTTGCATGTAAGTTATTATTTAAAAAGGTGCCAAATGTTTCAAAAATTGTTTGAAAGATGAAAAAAAAACAGGTCAAATTTTCAAACATATTAAAAAATAAAAATAGTATTAATGTTTTCACAAATAAATGTCTTAGGGGTTTTATATTGGAAGTCTAGTTATTAACCACTGGTTATCAGTTTAATTGTTTACGTCTCAATATCAATAAGGTTCAATCTTTATCCCGTCAGGTTAAATTAAAATGTACAGGTAAAATTAAATTCTACGGGTGCCATTAAAATCTACACGTACAATTAAAATCAAGAGGTGCATTTAAAATCTACAGGTACATTTTGCGTTTGCTCGTTCTTTTCTCAACACATTTCTTTTTACAAGAATAAATCAATTATTAATAAACATTTTCTTCGAGCTTAGCGAAGTCAAGGTGTAAAATATATCAATCAGTGTCAAGTGTATGAATTTAAAGTTAACATTTTTTATTTTAAAGTTCCGTTTAGTAATTTATACTGAATTTTATAAATTATCTTTATTCCACTTCGACAGTGTCTCTCAAGCTCAAATATTTATTTTGTGTTATTAAGTATTAAAAAATAGGCAGGGAAACTTTACAGAACGTCGGATTGTAGAGCAGAAAATTTGATCTCCGGGTAGAAACCTAGGGGAAACGGTGTACGTGTCGACAAAGACCGAGGGGAATTGACGATGAGGAGAATGTGTAGCACTGGCTGGGGATTGGCGAATGAAGGCGTAAAGCCGTGGATAGATCCAAATGGAAAGATGTTGTGGAGCAGTTCAGGACGCTCCATGCAACTGATGATGAAATATAAAAAAAAAGAAGTAGATATGTTGGAAAGTTGACTTGCATAATAAAATGCGTGTGTATTATCAAAGGCTTTGCGAGGTTACAAATAAATCCATATGTAAGCATAATTTAAAGATTACATGTAGCTTTACACTGTATAGGGATGATGTTTTTTTTTTTTTTTTAAGTTCATTCCCTTGGCCTTAGTAGGGGTGATTGGGAAATACTCTTCTTAAAAAAATACTCATGAAGGAACAGGAGGGCATTCGAATCAGATGCCATCGATCATTTGTCTGATTGCGTCTTAGATGTTTTGTATACCTATAGAAATCTCAACTTTAGTTTATTGATAAATCAACAATCTGACCAGATTCACAAATGGTTAATGTTGGTTTGTGCTTCTATTGCCATTAAAGTAACCTTATTTCATTAGGTCTCCCCCAGAAAGATTTTTTTTGATGGCTTATATCTGATTTAATCTCATGAAATTTACTTGAAAAAAAAGTCAAGTACATCTCCCTTTGTCTATGTTCTCAACTTTGAACCCAACTGTATTAACGTTCCTGGTTTGAACACTCTGTCGTTGTTTTCGTAAATGTAATAGAGGAAACGTTTTACTATCTGACTCACCAATTGCGGAAAAGCGATAAGTACACTTAGTAATGTATCCACAATGCTTGCATACTATAGCTTTGCAACAGTAGTTTCAGCTGGCCATTGAGTTTCTAAGGACGTGAGAATACAATGTCATAGTTAAAAATATGCCTGTTTAGTCGTTTAGATCCTTAGCAAGATTTTAATAATACACTTTACTGTATATTATACATAATTCAAAGAATGTGAAATTTACGCAAATGATTTATCATATTTTCCACCGCAGAGCTTTTTATCGGAACCAACTCCACATCAGCATTAAAGAGATCCTGTGAGTAAGTATATCAAGGCCATTTTCTAACGTTGTCTGAATGCCAAATAAAAAAATGATTTTCAAAGCATCATATTTTACAATCTTTTAATGAACATATATTTGATTTAAAGTTCCAGTGAACTGTGTAAAAAGTAAATAGTGATATTTCACATCACATACAAACTACCTCACACAACATTATGATACAGCGGGCAATTTATCTTGAAATGATGCAGGCGTTTTGACGTATTTTATTAAGGGTACATACATGTTTTACAAAGTAATCATATCGCTATTGTCATAAAAGGAAATTTGCATGGATCTATATATATATATATATATATATATATATATATTGTCGAGGGTATGAGAATCACTGTTGCTATGTGTAGAGCGTCGTTGTCATGTTTGATAGGGAAAAGATGTTAGTTAGAGATTTTATGTGCAGCCGTATCGTTTGTGTGAGAGTGTTGTGACGTAATTGTGTAATTGGGAAGTGACGCGTTAGTTTTGCTGTGGTTAGAGAGAATAGATGGCGGTTGTTGTGCTGAGAGAATTGATGGCGGATATACTAGATGAAGTGTTTGGATTGGTATATTGATTAATATTTGGTTGGAGTGATTGTATTATCAAATTCTGAAATTATACATCAAGTCTTGTTCATCGAGTACTGTTAAATAAACTACTATCTAGTTACAAACCTGTTGACGTTGGTTGTATTAGTAACTGTTGCTATTAGCTATATTGTAGACTAGTAGACACTCATTGCCATGAGTGAATAACTACAACACAACGGATACAACATCGCGACATATATATATATATATATATATACATTTATTTATGGATTTTAACGCCAGAAAAATAGTGACAATTTTGTCAAAAATAACCCTATTGATGGCGTCAAGTACTCTACAATGCTATAAACACAACCTTAATACAATAACAGTTTTAAAAAATCATAAACTGAAACACGCCTCAAAGTTTCTCCCATATTCCCCTTTTTCATTATTTTTTTTTTACATCAGTCTTGCTCATTAAATGGAGTTCGCATGTTTTAAATTATTCTTCCTCCTAAAGGGGAG